CAATACCTGCTCATAAGAGAAGATAACTCTGCAATACGCAAAGACAGAATTGTAATGAATATGACTATTAGACCATATCATTGAACTTACCAATTGTGCAGAACTCCTCTCGTCCTTTGAGATAAAATATCCTGATAGCAAACACATAGACAGTGTTCCTGCGGCCCACCTCTGCCCACGACGTACACTCAGGGTCCATCACGATTTGTGGCCTAGATTGCTCTGTAGAAGCTCTTAGGGTCAGGTTTTCCACATTTAATATCACACCTAAGAAATACATTTTAAATTTAAAAAAGGTTTGCAAAATCTTTGAAAGGAGGCACGAATACTGCATCAATATCAAACCTGAGAGTGGCCAAAAATGAGTGTATCACACCTGAGGAGTGGAAGGAATGAGTATATTACACCTGAGAAGTGGACAGAATAAGTGTATCACACATGGGGAGTAGACAGGAGTGAGTGTACTAGTATCACACCTGAAGAGAGGACAGAAATGAGTTTCTCAAATTTGACCTTCACAGTTTTTTTGGATGATGTAAAGATATTCATAAAAACGTCATTTAACTTTTGACTATTATTGACTACAAAATATTCTTTAAAAACACCTGAGATGGAAAACTGACAAAATCAGTCCTAAACAAAATGAATCATCTTTATCTTATCAAAGATGCTGTTACATGTATCAACAACTTGGACAGGAGTAGGGACAGCACTCACCTGGCAGAGGTTTTCGTGTGAGTTTTTTGTTCAGTCCTTTGATGGTTGATGTCATGGTAGTATAGTATGCAGCAGACACTCGATGGGTTGGTTCTGAGAGATGTGCAGCGATGTCTCTCCTTTCTGGGACCGGCTGACTGCCCTTCTTATTGGTGATGTCAGTTACCGTTGTGCTCTGTTCACCAGCCTTTTCATCTTTATCGTTTCCTTTATTGGTGCCTGGGGGAATCAGAGAGCTTACCACTGTTGTCAGCATGTCATGTGCAAAGTTACCTCCCCCTGAGCTTATAGCCTGTGTTTTTTCCCATTGCACAGCTGTACCCTGGTCCTCATCTGTATAAGGCTCCCCAGGAATGGCTGTTGTGTATCCGATCTGGGCCACCGGCATGGTGTCAGAAATTCTTGGGACCAACCATAATCTACAACACGAGAAGTGGTACGTACTATTTCATTAGTTCAGATGTTGGATCTGTAACAGATCAGGTAAAATGCATGACCAGACCAGGAATTGAACCCAGGATCCCCAAAGATTTGATGAAAGCTTTAAGCAGTTGAGCTAACAGTTAGCAGGTGATGAAATCAGTTCAGTTACACTTTTTTAAAACCTATTTTCAGGTATCCTCTTGTACACGGCCAGTGCTTGCAACAAGGAGAGGACAGATGCACAGCCATACCTGGATTTGAACCCAGGACCTCAGAACACTAGACGGATGCTCTAACCAATTGAGCTACATGTATCTGGTCACCGGTAAAAATAGACCCAGTCCAATTCCACTGTTGATCTATTAAATTCAATTATTGTATACACTATTCATTGGGACAACAATCATTAAAAAAGAACATTGCAAGTTGCATAGAAAGTAATTGCAAAACGGTAAACAACATGCTTAGCAATTCATTTTTTCTAAACTTCTTCCTAAATTGGGATAACAGTGAAGTAAGGGAGAAATCATAATCAGTATTAGTTTATAAAAAACAATTGGACTATACCTCAGTCCCATGACGAATCTATTGACGCCGTATGAGGACTCTGAATGTAACACTCCTTTGGTGTCGTACTGATCTTCCTCTACCAGTTTATAGCTGATGGATTCACATTTCCAGACAGTAAAATCCTGGTTTGCATTCAGCCATGCATTAGCTTGGTCAACGATGAAGCTGTAATAAAAGAAAAAAAACTAACTCTTGTTCCAATGTCTAATAAAGACAAAATTATTTATTCTTTCTGGAGTGAGTAGTAAAAGTAAAATGATAAATCTATTTATGAAACGAGTATAAAGAATTGTAACAAGTTGAATAAATCTCATATGAAATGAAAACGAGTGTAAGATAATTTTTATCACATAATC